GGTTATTAAGCGTTTTAGCTCCTATGTTGTTAATATTGACCGCCATTTCCTTTATGAAGTAAAGCAGCCTCCCTGTCTGTGTCCTCGCGCTGTCCTCACATCCCCGGATCCCCAGACTCGGAGGAGCACAGGGATTTCAGTATTGTTTATGAAGCAGGGTATAGAAAGGACATTATTGAAATGAAAATACTATTTATTTACTTTTACAAACTGTGAGTAGCTGGGCAGCTGCAGCATGTGTATTGCAGGACATGTGTTAGACACACAGACTGTTGGACTCTGTCTCACAGGCAGGTTGCAGTGTAACATCAGAGGAGACTGGGCCAATTGTACATTCTCAAACTGCACCACTTAGAACTAACTAAACAATGCAGAGATTATTTTTATATAATTGTATTCAATAACAGTAAGAAATTAAACAGTATGAAGTGATTTGTAAATAGGAATACAGATTTGACTTAATGTTTTCATAAATATATTTTTCTCCCAGCTTGTCATGGGACTTATTTTTACCCTCTCAAAGAACCGGAATCGAGAACCAAAAATAACTGGAATCGAAAAGCAGAACCGGAATCGTTAAAATCCAAACGATACCCAACCCTATGTGTGATGCAGTAAAATCTTACCGCTCACTTATGTTACCGGTGTCGTAAAAACCGTGGGAAAATGTAAAATACGATGGCAAAGAAGAAGATTCCAGTGGCCCCAATTTGTGTCCATTCTGGACAAGTGAAAAATGTATTCGGACAAGTAAATTGCCAAACTCACTTGTCCATGGACAAGTACTCTCTAAAAACTTTTTCTCACACTGCACACAGCCTTGTAGTTTTTCTTTGGGGTAAATTCGAGTAATTATGGGAGTCAAAATAGATATATCGATAGGGATAAATCTGACGGGGATGACATGGTTTACTAGTTGAACATTTACAAATAAATAAAGTTAAATTGGCCTTGTCAAAGTGTCCCTGCACCAGTGAGTGGCAGACTCATATATACAGTCTATGGGCAGACCCTGAAAACTGTAGGCCTAATGTTAGATTGATAAATCACGAAAAAGGTCACCACTGAAGCCAGTTGCAAATGGCAATGGCTCACTCATACTTGCCAACCCTCCCGATTTTCGCGGGAGACTCCCGATTTCACTGCCCTCTCCCGGTTTCCTCCCGGGGTCATATTTCTCCCGATTTCTGACAAAATCAGATTTACTCAGGCCTGTTTCCACTCAGACTTTAATACCGCTACACTATTGTTTGGTTTCCATGGTAGAGCGTCTCTTTAGCAGCACGCGCAACTGAAAGTCTGAGAGGGTGAGGAAAATAGTCACAGAAAACAACAAGAATCGACAACTCGACCCTATGCTCACTCCTTTCCTGTATATCCACATATGCTCCATCAAGACAGTGCACACTTACAACTAAAATAAGCATGTTAATCTAATACAGCTCCGGCGATCCACTAGGATTATAGATATAATCATAAATACAAAAATAAATGAAAACAAATATTTGTGGTAGGCTGGTTACTGTAGTGCGTGTATATGTAATACTTAAAACATTTATGACATATTTTATATACACAGATACAAAACAGTAGTGTACTACTCAAGTACACAGATGTCAACATGAATGTAGTGCCTGTATATTTATAATGAGAAGTAATAGATAGCAGAATCATACATTTTAAATAAAATGAATTATATATAACATAATATTGACATAGTAGGAGATAATTAAATGCAACAATATATCAAAACATTGATAGAGAATAGAAGAAATTAAATGAATGTTAAATATAACACAATAAATGGTATTTGAAGGTATCCTCGAGATCTACCTTATAGAAAAAAGTATTTAGCCAGAACTTAATCAATAAGATTTTATTTGTTATTATTAAAATAATACCAAACACTCGCTTTTGGTCTTTGAACAGAATCATTTGAAAACAGTTAATGCTTATGTCTATAAGGTATGGATTTCTCTCCCTGAGACAATAGTTATTTGAGATCTGCAGGTTATACTTCACACATGTATATGGTTACACCACAAGCAGAATGAGCGGCTCCCTAGATTCACAAATACACGAACATGCTGTTTGTTGACTTTATTGTTATCATTTCTACGTTGGTTACCATAACAGTCAACGGGCAAACCCTGGGCTGAATGCTGCTCGGCTTTCGTCCGTGTGTCCGTAGAACAACATGGGGACATTTAATATAGCATTGGAGTTTATTTAATGTCGTCTAGTGTTTAACTACGTTGTTAGACATTCCTCATTATGGCTCTGCGTTCACCGGACCAAACTTTTCCACGTAGGTTTCACAGTAACACTACAGCAGCTGGAGCTAACCACTCATATCAAAGCTAATGTTAGCCATGCTTAAATGTTATATTGTGATGCGTTTAGTTTTGTGAATGTATTAAGCTTTCGTCCTCAAATTAAATAGTTGTTTGTTTAAAGTCCCCGAGCTATGTTCTTGCCCCGGAAGAGAAAAAGCGTTGTATTTCCGCTGTCTTCCCGTCAACGAGCAGACAGAAGGAGAAGCTAGCTAGCATAGCCACATGCTAGTTAGCACTCAGACACGCCGTGCTCGCCATTGTGTCTCCTTTGAAACTACTTATTTCACAGCCTTGTGTTTGTGGTTCTTCAAAGAGAGAATCGAAGCCGTGCCACTATTGTTTTTCCACGAAGTGCTGTGGTTTTTTGTTGTTGATGTAACACGGTTCCAGAAATATGGCTGAAGGAGGAAACTACTACAACGGTAAGACCTGTTTACTTGACCATTAACCACGCATCTTCTTTGCTACTTGTGCCGTTTCTCTTCAGACCGAGGAGAGTTTATGGTGAGGAGGGAGGTCAGAAGCACTGGTTGCATGGTATTTGGAGGTAAACTTATATGTTAGGCTAGCCCTCGAGATCTAATAATGTTACCTAATGGATACAAATATTTACCCATAACTTTATTGTTATTATACCAAAGCATAGCTTATAGTATTTGAACGGAATGTAAATATGTAGGTCAATAATTAATGTTTTTTTCTTTCTGAGACATTAGATATGTGAGCTGTGCAGGTTATAGGTCACTCACACTGCAAGCAGAATGAGCAATTATGGCTCCCTACATTCACTGCCATTGTCTCATCATAGTGGATTATTTAAAATGTGCCTATAGGCTACATCTTTGATTTATATGTTAACATTTGGTATGATATAATTTTGATTAGTTTATTATTTTTGTTATTGTGTATGTTCGTGGAGAGATATTTAATTCAAATATAACTGATATTTGAACTCTGTTCACTTTTTTTAGAGCATGATGACAGAACCGGACCACAGTTTCGCAGCCGCAAAGGAAGAGGCTCCCACAAGGGTCGGTCATATGAAGGGTCCCGCAGGGTCCGCCAACGGGGAAGCCACTCTGGAGACTTCGGGGGTACTGGGCCACGATCTCGGTTTGACGATACTGACGTAGATGTAACTATGAGTGACAGCTCTCAGGACAACAGCTCTCAAAACAGATTGTAAGTGAGGGTGACCAACTTTGTATGGTAGTTTAACATTGTCTTCAGATATGTATGTATGTATTTATGTTAGGGGTGTAACGGTTCACAAACATTTCGGGACGTACCTCGGTTTTTAGGTCACGGTTCGGTTCGGTACGTTTTCGGTACAGCAGAAAAAATTATCACAAAACATAAAATATATATATATTTTTTTAATTATTATTAAACTGTGAAAAATGTAATTCACTCAAATAAATACAAAATATAATAAAATAAACATTAAGGTGCAGCATTTCGATGAACTGAAATAATCTGTATTTGAACTTTACTGTACTAGTACGACAGAGTATTAGGGCCAAACTTAGAAGGAAAAAAAAGAGAGATTTCGAGAATAAAGTCGTAATAATACTAGAATAAATTTATAGTTACGAGAATAAAGTCGTAATATTACGAGAATAAAGTCGCAATGTTACGAGAATAAAGTCATAAATACGAGATTAAAGTCGTAGTTTCATAAGTGACTTGAGAAGGAGACAACAGCAACGTCCTGCAATAAAATGAGGAATGTGG